ACTCCCTCTCTTGGATATCAGCATGTGAAGGACACTGTTCAGGAACTAGTTGATGCTCTGTATGTGATGACTCCTTCCATTCTGGAGAGGATCACAGATACATGGATCCTGAGATTGAAGCTCAAGCCGGGGACCAGTGATTATTAACATTTTTGGATTTAGAGAAAAAGTCAGAATTTTTGGATTTTGAGAGAAAAATCAGGATTTTGAGAAAAAAGTCAATTTTGAGGAAAAAGTCATATATTTTTGTAAAAGTCAGAATTTTTAGAAAAAGTCAGAATTTTCAGAAAAAGTCAGAATTTTCAGATTTAGAGAAAAACTCAGTATTGTACATGACAGGATGTATGATAACCTACAATAACCAGTATTCGTCCATCTTGTGACTGTGTAACTCCCTCTCTTGGATATCAGCATGTGAAGGACACTGTTCAGGAACTAGTTGATGCTCTGTATGTGATGACTACTTCCATTCTGGAGAGGATCACAAATACATGGATCCTGAGGTTGAAGCTCAAGCCGGAGACCAGGGAGACTTTTCTAACAGTATTATTGGGACAATTGTGGAAATAACTGTCTATCTATGAATTATCTGATTAGATATTTCCTTTATTTATGCTCCTGATGATTTATGATTAGTGTGTTCAGGATTGTTTGTTTGTTAATTTAATTATAAGCATAAATTGATGCTGATTAGGATGATATGGTTAAATTGCAACCTTTTACGTAATTGCAAAATCAAATTTCCATATCTTCCCATGTTAAAGGGGACCTATCATGCAAAATGCACTTGTGTACGTCTTTTCTACATGAATATGTGTCCCCGGTGTTCCAGGGAACTCACCAAGTGTCAGAAAACACAACCCTCTCTATTTTCCTCCATACCCAAATCTCTAAAAAAGGGGCTGCAACGGATCTGATAAAAACTGATCCAGATTTGAACACTGTCCTGACGTCAGGACGGTGGCGCCACGGCTATTGGGCCAACTCCACCAATCAGGAGGAGACAGCCACGGCCATTGCCGTTCGAAAGCGCTGGAGACGCTGTAGTACATATGCCAGGCCTGTAGGTGGTGCTGTTCTCACTGAATCAGCCCTTGCAAAAACAGAGCTAGAAATGATCAAATTCAGCAAAATGAGGCATGGCTAAAATGCATGATCTGTTTGGTATTTTGAAAAAAGAAAAGTATAAATATGCCTTATATAGGTATGGTCCTACACTATATTATTATAATATAGCATGATAGGTCCACTTTAAGTTGACTATGTTATGTGCTAAATATCTATGGATTGGGACAGAGGAAGTTGTCATCACATGGTTCAGTCCTTAAACCCTTAGATAAGGTGAACAACAGGCGCATACGTGTTATAATTGCCCAAAATATTTCCATTGGGTTTCTGCAGCTTTTAGTAAATGCTGCGCATGTTTCCTCAAGTTGCTGAAGATGTTTCTTCATGTGGAACATTTGTCTTTTTATATCTGCATAATATTATAATGGAAGTGTTTTCGGCCGCCGTAAGACGGTGACAATCAGAGAAAACAACAAAAGTACCAGATGAATTACCTTCTGGAAGATGAAGAGGGAGGGGAAGGTTCTGGAGATGTCCAGCTTGATGAGGTCCAGACTGGACTCTCTGTCGGCCAGAGAGGCTCCGTCTGAAACACAGGAGAGACTTTGATGATGTTTATGTTTTAATGTCATATTCTCAGCTCTGAATATCCACGTGTGACGTTTTCATATTCAATATGTGAGCTGTGTGTGGTACCGCTCTCAGTGTCGTTGACGGAGCTCGTCTCGCTGTAACTCCTCCACTTCTCTTTGGCTCTGGACAGGAAGATCTCATACAGCTCTATACACACACACACACACACACACACACACACACACACACACGGGTTTTAATATTGAAAACACATTTTAAATAACAGATAATAATACAAAATATATATAACATTTAAACAAAATGTATGTAACTGTACAAATAAATAACAAAAACAGGAAAAACACATGTGTGTGTGTGTGTGTGTGTACCTGGTGTGATGTTGAGCTCGTTGCCGATGGCGAGGCTCCACACTCTTCCTCTGACGCTGGGAGGAAGACCCTGCCACCACAGATCCCTCACCCGCCTCGTCGCCTTCCTGCACACACATAAAGAAGTATAAACATGCTGCACACGACACACACACACAGTATATATAAAACACACACACACACACAGTATATATAAAACACACACACACAGTATATATAAAACACACACACACAGTATATATAAAACACACACACAGTATATATAAAACACACACACACAGTATATATAAACACACACAGTATATATAAAACACACACACAGTATATATAAAACACACACACACAGTATATATAAAACACACACAGTATATATAAAACACACACACAGTATATATAAACACACACACACAGTATATATAAAACACACACACAGTATATATAAAACACACACACAGTATATATAAACACACACACAGTATATATAAAACACACACACAGTATATATAAAACACACACACACAGTATATATAAAACACACACACACAGTATATATAAAACACACACACACACAGTATATATAAAACACACACACACACACAGTATATATAAACACACACACACAGTATATATAAAACACACACACAGTATATATAAACACACACACACAGTATATATAAAACACACACACAGTATATATAAAACACACACACAGTATATATAAAAAACACACACACAGTATATATAAAACACACAGTATATATAAAACACACACACACAGTATATATAAAACACACACACACACACAGTATATATACAACACACACACACACAGTATATATAAAGCACACACACACACAGTATATATAAAACACACACACAGTATATATAAAGCACACACACACACAGTATATATAAAACACACACACAGTATATATAAAGCACACACACACACAGTATATATAAAGCGCACACACACACACAGTATATATAAAGCACACACACAGTATATATAAAACACACACACAGTATATATAAAACACACACACAGTATATATAAAGCACACACACACACACAGTATATATAAAGCACACACACAGTATATATAAAACACACACACAGTATATATAAAACACACACACAGTATATATAAAGCACACACACACAGCTGTGTGTACGTACATGGTGTCCCAGTGCGGCAGGATCTCTGTGTTCCAGACGATCATGGCGTTGGAGATGCTGTCCTCCTGGCGGTGTCTCTCCTTCATCTGACGCTTCTTCCTCTGCGCCTCCTTCATCTCTGCACGACACACACACACGCACACACACACATTTAGAGAGATTGAATAACTGTGTCTGAGCCAATCAAATTACAGCAGAACAATCGCTCTGCAATAGAAAAGTGTGGGAAACTTGGCCAGAAAAACAGCAGATGAAGACAAGAGGTAGTTTTGGACACAGGTTGTAATTATGTTGTTTACTATATTTGTGTGTGTCAGTTTGTGTGTGTGTGTGTGTGTGTGTGTGTGTGTGTGTGTGTGTGTGTGTGTGTGTGTGTGTGTGTGTGTGTGTTTACCTCTCCTCTTGGCTCCTGCCACCATCTCATCATACTCCATCTTGTGTCTCTGAGTTTCCTCCAGAGATTTGGCGGGCAGGTTCCTGCAGGACGGAGGATTCAGACACACTAACATCAGAAACTAAGAAACTAAATAACCCTCTTACAGCTCAGGTTTCTGCGGCAGTGGGGAAGTATACATTAAACCAGTATGCAGCCGTCTGTACTGGTGGTAGCTGATGTTGTCTCATGGTACTCACGCTGGCCGGTCCTCCAGGATCAGCGCTGTGGTGGAGAGAGGCTCAAACTCCAGGTTCTTCCTCCGTCCTGCAGCCGAGGCCAGCTGAGGACAAGAAGGGTCCAACTCCTGGTCATCCTGCAGACATTAGAAACACAAACCAAGTTAAATAACCAGGTGTATATCAGTGTGTAGTGTCTCTACTTTAAAGAGTCCTCTCCTGCTGATGTTCAGGTGTATATCAATATGTAGTGTCTCTACTTTAAAGAGTTCTCTCCTGCTGATGTTCAGGTGTATATCAGTATGTAGTGTCTCTGCTTTAAAGAGTCCTCTCCTGCTGATGTCCAGGTGTATATCAGTATGTAGTGTCTCTACTTTAAAGAGTCCTCTCCTGCTGATGTTCAGGTGTATATCAGTATGTAGTGTCTCTACTTTAAAGAGTTCTCTCCTGCTGATGTTCAGGTGTATATCAGTATGTAGTGTCTCTACTTTAAAGAGTCCTCTCCTGCTGATGTTCAGGTGTATATCAGTACGTAGTGTCTCTGCTTTAAAGAGTCCTCTCCTGCTGATGTTCAGGTGTATATCAGTATGTAGTGTCTCTACTTTAAAGAGTCCTCTCCTGCTGATGTTCAGGTGTATATCAGTATGTAGAGTCTCTACTTTAAAGAGTTCTCTCCTGCTGATGTTCAGGTGTATATCAGTATGTAGAGTCTCTACTTTAAAGAGTCCTCTCCTGCTGATGTTCAGGTGTATATCAGTATGTAGTGTCTCTACTTTAAAGAGTCCTCTCCTGCTGATGTTCAGGTGTATATCAGTATGTAGTGTCTCTACTTTAAAGAGTCCTCTCCTGCTGATGTTCAGGTGTATATCAGTATGTAGTGTCTCTACTTTAAAGAGTCCTGTCCTGCTGATGTTCAGGTGTATATCAGTATGTAGTGTCTCTACTTTAAAGAGTCCTGTCCTGCTGATGTTCAGGTGTATATCAGTATGTAGTGTCTCTACTTTAAAGAGTCCTGTCCTGCTGATGTTCAGGTGTATATCAGTATGTAGTGTCTCTACTTTAAAGAGTCCTGTCCTGCTGATGTTCAGGTGTATATCAGTATGTAGTGTCTCTACTTTAAAGAGTCCTCTCCTGCTGATGTTCAGGTGTATATCAGTATGTAGTGTCTCTACTTTAAAGAGTCCTGTCCTGCTGATGTTCAGGTGTATATCAGTATGTAGTGTCTCTACTTTAAAGAGTCCTGTCCTGCTGATGTTCAGGTGTATATCAGTATGTAGTGTCTCTACTTTAAAGAGTCCTGTCCTGCTGATGTTCAGGTGTATATCAGTATGTAGTGTCTCTACTGGGATGCATGTCTCCATGCTTTAATGTTCAAAAAGGTAATAATAGTCATCTTAATCTGAAACGTGCATCAAATACACCGGAAAGAAAATACAATAGAATACAAATTTAAATATGTTTGTCAAAGAACATGTTCAGTGGGAAGTAAATACAAACAATTGAGATGTTGTACCAAACCACAATCCACACGCACACGCTTATAAACAGAGTTATTGTTCGTCAGCTGCGGCACAAAGTCGGTTTGTTGGAGGATAAGCTCCGCAGAGAGAATCTGAATAAATCTCCATCTGTGTGTGTGTGTGTGTGTGTGTGTGTGTGTGTGTGGACACCATGCACAACAGACAGTGTATTCACAGGATCAACAGACAGCTGTGGCTCTGCAGCACAACAAGCCTTTCATTGACAGATCCCAGATCAGCAGCAGGGGGCGACAGAGAGCCGAGTCTCTTTGTGACCATGTTAAACTTCCTGTTGTCCTGTCAAATCTCACCCGCTCCCAAAACGTCTTTATGTTAGGATAAAGGTTTGTGTTATGTTGGTGCCAGAAACAGAACATGTGCACTACGTTTTCCACGAGAAATCAAGATCTCTTTCATTTGATTTTGTGTTTATTCAAAGTTAGCATTTGTGGTCAGTTTTTGTTCTCAGATATTAGGTTTGATTTTGTGTAATTGAGATCTATTGACCATACATTTCAAAAAGAAGAGTATTACTTGTGGTACTAAGTAGGAATACAGTTGCCTTAAAAGGTGTAACTCAGATTTGGGTGATCATGTATACTATATGCTTTAAAAAGAGTTAAACTGGGATAGGAAGACAACACAAGGCAGCCGGATGAAGTCACGTGACGCTAGGGCTGTGCGATTATGGCAAAAATCATAATCACGATTATTTGGGTCAATAATTGATATCACGATTATTAAATACGATTATTCATTGACTTTGAAAACATCCATTTATTGAACTTTGAAACAAATACAAATAATAATTTGAACAGTATCTTGTTAACTGTGGATTACCCTGAACGTATAATTCAACTGAAAAACCAATACAAAAATAAATAAATTATACATTTAAATAAATAATATCAAAATAATAAATACCAATAAACAAGATCAACAAATATTTTGGAGCGCACTTCCACAAGCTACTAAACATATATAAATATGATAAATACAAATAAATGAGACAAAAATTAATTAGATCAAATATGTCACAACCTAGCAAAATAATTGTTTTTTTCGATTATGTTGTTTTCGTAATTGTGGCAGGCCAAAATCGTAATTGCGATTAAAATACGATTAATTGCACAGCCCTACATCAGATGCAACATGTTTTAGGCAGCCGGATGAAGTCACGTGACGCACTGGTGAAATAAATGTGATGTTAACCAAACCTCAGCAGGTAAAGCTCCACTGTGACGAGACAGAGTAGAAAGAGTCGGCTTACATTCTGTCTAATACATGTTTAGTGTAGTATTCACCCTAAGATGCAGAGAGTGAGCACCCTGCAGAAATTACTTTTATGAGATCAGTATTACTACACATGTGAACAACCCTCACATCACCAAATCTACTTATTTATCTAAATAGTTATCACAGCAATAAACCGTATTTAATTGTGTCTTAATGTACATTATTTAATTTCACATTCTGTTCTTGTACATATCATATTCTATGTACATGGATATAGACTTCTTATTATACATGTTGCCTTGCTGGAGGAGCTCAGGTCACGAGAGTTTCATTTCTACTCTGTGAGCACATGATGATAAAACCTTTGAGTCTTGAATCTTTGAATCACAGCGGAGTTTGAGGAGGAAACACCAGCCGAAGGGACAGCTCTGTGAGTTCAACTGGACTGTCTGGAGGAGACGCTGGAGAGTCACATCTCCTCGGACACTCCTTTGAACCAGAAGCCGTCAGGCTGGAGAGCCCATGGTCATCATGCCGTTGTGTCCTTGGGCAAGACACTTCACTCTAATTTCAGGGTTCATACACTTTTTCACAAATGATTTTCAATGACTTCTCCAGGACCTTTACCTCATTTTCCATGACCAAAAAAAGTACTCTCAGCGGTACCACTGAAAATGGTTTATTTGAACATGGAACAGGAAAATCAGGTCTGCATATGAAACATGTTGTGCCTTTCTAAAACAAATCAAATAGGCTTACTAGCTTCTACTAAAATCTCTCAGCAGCGAAACACCTCGTCAGTTAAAAGCCATTTCACGTTTCCTTACTATACGATACAGTATTTATTATCATTATAGTATTACTATTTTGGCGATTAGATAAAATATAAATTATATTTGATGCAACTTTAGTTACATTTCCATGACTTTTCCAAAACTTTGGGAAAAATATTGTTTTCCAGGGCCTGGAATTAGCATTTTCAATTTCCATGACTTTTCCAGGTTTTTAATGACCGTAAGAACCCTGTAATTTGCTCCTGAGGGTATTGTCCACAGAGTTGATGTATTACATGTCTACTATATGTTAAATGTAATGTAAAGCGCTAAATAAATGTAATGAATTATTATTAACCGTGAAACCTATTTGAAAAAACCCTGCAGTTTGCCTTTCACTGTTTATGTAAACAACTAGCTTCACTCATATCGGTATATATGTACATCTGATCAGTGTTTGTGTTCTTATTATCCTCGTGTGAACTGTTATCTATACTCTCCTGTGTTTCACTCTGCTGCTTCAGCGCCTACAGGGATCCATAAGGTGTATTCTCTCTCACATGATCACCATCACAGTCAGGATGAGCGCCTCAGAGATATTTCCTGACGCACTGAATTCAAAGCAAACCGTGTGAAAGCCAGCTCTCCTCCTCCTCCTCCTCCTCCTCAGTCTGACGTGTCAAAGCTGAACAACATCTGGTCGACTCCCGTCATCAATCATCCGGCTGCTGTCATGTGATCAGACGCTCTGCTGTTAGCATGGCTAGCATCGTCTGCTCTCTACGCTACACAGAGAGGTCAGAGGTGAACCCTGGGTCAGGATCAGGAGATGGTGTGGTTCTTCATCATGTGGTTCTTCATCTTCATCATGTGTAGAAACGAGATTTCACTGTTTGTCTCGAATCCAAACAGAGAGAGGGAAGACGCTTGTGTGTGTGTGTGTGTGTGTGTGTGTGTGTGTGTGTGTGTGTGTGTGTGTGTGTGTGTGTGTGTGTGTGTGTGTGTGTGTAACTTACAATCTGCTCTAGATGACAGGAGAGGAAAAGCTGTGTGTGTTTAAGTGTGTCACTGATGGCAGAGAAATTATACTATGCAGCAAGAGAGGGGGATAGAGGGTTGCATTGTGTGTGTGTGTGTGTGTGTGTGTGTGTGTGTGTGTGTGTGTGTGTGCTCAGCTGCAGCAGGCAGTGTTTGCAAGTTGCCTGGCGACCAAATAAACTCACATACAAACACAATCTATTTAACAGCCTTATTGTATATTGTAAACAGACGCAGGCTAACAGCATTAGCCTCTGCAGCTAATGACATACACAGACACACACACACACACACACACACACAAACACGCACACAGGCCGACCAATCAAACGTCTCACACTGTGCACAGACGTCACTGTGTGTTCAGGCTTTAAAGAGACAGGTTGGATGGTTCACAGTGGGGGTCAACAATCAGTGTTTTGCCTCCAGTAGAGCGCGGTTAGCACTTTGCAGTTTGGAGTAAAAAGCTCCTTCAACAACAGGCACTGCAACCATGAAACTACCTCGTCTTCATCCAGAAGAGCGTCTACATTACAGTGAATTAAATGACATTGAGCTGAGGCTGAAGCGACTTTAAACAGATGCACTCCAACTCAAAGCAGCATGAAATCTGCAGCCACATTTGTTTCAAACAAGCCAGATTTAAGAAGCCATTTTGAGACCAAACCCATGTTGGCATCTGAGCTCCACCGTTAACCCCACACTCCATGACTGGTGCTGGCATGTGATTTAAGAGCCATTCCTCAGGTTATTAGCTGTTTTATTTTGAATATGTTAGTTTCTTTTTCCCTCCACAACCATCTGGTGGCCCCGCAAGCAGAAAGACCTTTCATTATTATCAAGAACAACTGATGTTTTCTGACATATTTGAGCTTCAAATCCACCAAACACTCGAAGAGCTTCATCTGTGTGTTTTCTAACATCCTCCATTTGTGTGAGTGTGTGAGTGTGAGTGTGAGTGTGTGTGTGTGTGTGTGTGAGTGTGTGAGTGTGTGTGTGTGTGAGTGTGTGTGAGTGTGTGAGTGTGTGTGTGAGTGGTGTGTGTGTGTGTGTGTGAGTGTGTGAGTGTGTGTGTGTGTGAGTGTGTGTGAGTGTGTGAGTGTGTGTGTGTGTGTGAGTGTGTAGTGTGTGTATAGTGTGTGTGAGCTTGTTGGAGTGTGTGAGCTTGTTGGAGTGTGTGTGTGTGTGTGTGTGTGAGAGTGTGAGTGTGTGTGTGTGTGTGTGTGTGTGTGAGAGTGTGAGTGTGAGTGTGTGTGTGTGAGAGTGTGAGTGTGTGTATAGTGTGTGTATAGTGTGTGTGAGCTTGTTGGAGTGTGTGAGCTTGTTGGAGTGTGTGTGTGTGTGTGTGTGTGTGTGTGTGTGTGTGTGTGTGCGTAGTGTTTGTGTATAGAGCCTGTGAGTGTGAGAGTGTGTGTGTGTGTGTGAGTGTGAGTGTGAGTGTGTGTGTAGTGTGTGTATAGTGTGTGTATAGTGTGTGTGTGAGCGTGTTAGTGGGTATATAGTGTGTGTGAGTGTGTGTGTGAGCTTGTTGGAGTGTGTGTGTGTGTGTGTGTGTGTGTGTGTGTGTGTGCGCGTAGTGTTTGTGTATAGAGTCTGTGAGTGTGTCAGTGTGTGTGTGTGTGTAGACTGTGAGTGAGTGTGTATGTTTAAGTTTGTGTGTGAGAGTGCTTGTGAGCGTGTTTAAGTTCATGTGAGTGTGTGTCTGTATGAGTGTGTGTGTGTGTGTGCGTGTACTGACCTCCTGTGAGCACGGTGTGGATTCGGGGTCTGAAGTTGGATCCTCCTCTCTGGTTGGTGGTTTGCCAAACAGACGCCACCCTGTTGCATTGTGGGACGCCGCCTTGGGCTCTTTGGCTTTCCTAGAAAACAGGCTCCTGAAGAGAGACGGAAACAAAGGGTTAATAAACACTGCTGATTATAATCAACTACAAACATTTAGAATTGTAATTGGTTAGATATTACAAACAGACTCTTGAAACCATCAGAGCTTTTGTTACGTTTCCCTCTCGCCTCTGAAATGTGAAGTTATTCACGTCAGACTCAAAGAGCTGATGGAACATTATTCAGTTCCTCAAAAACAAATGAAAAGCCATAAAAAGTGATGATGAACCGCTCTTCCTCATCGTCAGTCTGCCCACAGTCTGCAGCTGCTGCACTTTCTATCCACACACACACACACACACACACACACACACACACACACACACACACACACACACACACACACACACACACACACACACACACACACAACACACACACACACCACACACACACACACACACACACACACACACACACACACACAGCACACACACACACACACACACACACATCACACACACACACACACGACACACACACACACACACACACACACACACACACACACACACACCACACACACACACACACACCACACACACACACACACACACACACACACACACATCACACACACACACACACACACACACACACACACACACACACACACGAAAAGCAAATATTATTCTCCTCTCTGCAGGCTCCACTTTCTTCCCTGTGAAGTGTGAGGAGAGTGTGAGGTGTGTGTGTGTGAGGAGTGTGTGTGTGTGTGTGTGTGTCTGCAAGTGTCAAAAGCTAGCTCTTTAACACAAGGAATAAATACTCTACTGTAGAATAAAGACTGTAATCAAGTTTAGAAGCTAACTGGCTTTGTTATGTGTGCTTTCCCCTCTGACCTGAGCCCAAGGTCATATGTTATGTAAACTTTATTTACATTCAGATTATTTTGTATTCCTTTAATCAAAAGGTGTGTTTTGTTGCAGTGGATACACCTCTGAGGAGTCAACTTTGTTTGTTTACTTGCAATTACACACACACACTAACTCATGAGAATGTATGAATTGTTTTTTGGCTTGGGTATAAAACCGTTAATTTGAAGCGTAACTAAAGCATGAAGTAGAAAGTATTTTCTTGCTTCTTGTAGATGTTGAGCAACACCTCATAAATAGAAAAGAGGAAGTGTTTTTTTCACTTTTTAGTGGGAGCTTCTGTTAAAGAGGCTCTGTTCCTCTTTTTGGGTTTCCCTCTCCTCAAGGTTTGAGTCAATGTGTTGACTTCCAGAGGGAGAGCAGAGACACTACGTACTGATATACACCTGAACATCAGCAGGAGAGGACTCTTTAAAGTAGAGACACTACATACTGATATACACCTGAACATCAGCAGGAGAGGACTCTTTAAAGAAGAGACACTACGTACTGATATACACCTGAACATCAGCAGGAGAGGACTCTTTAAAGTAGAGACACTACATACTGATATACACCTGAACATCAGCAGGAGAGGACTCTTTAAAGTAGAGACACTACGTACTGATATACACCTGAACATCAGCAGGAGAGGACTCTTTAAAGTAGAGACACTACATACTGATATACACCTGAACATCAGCAGGAGAGGACTCTTTAAAGTAGAGACACTACATACTGATATACACCTGAACATCAGCAGGAGAGGACTCTTTAAAGTAGAGACACTACATACTGATATACACCTGAACATCAGCAGGAGAGGACTCTTTAAAGTAGAGACACTACATACTGATATACACCTGAACATCAGCAGGAGAGGACTCTTTAAAGTAGAGACACTACATACTGATATACACCTGAACATCAGCAGGAGAGGACTCTTTAAAGTAGAGACACTACATACTGATATACACCTGAACATCAGCAGGAGAGGACTCTTTAAAGTAGAGACACTACATACTGATATACACCTGAACATCAGCAGGAGAGGACTCTTTAAAGTAGAGACACTACATACTGATATACACCTGAACATCAGCAGGAGAGGACTCTTTAAAGTAGAGACACTACATACTGATATACACCTGAACATCAGCAGGAGAGGACTCTTTAAAGTAGAGACACTACATACTGATATACACCTGAACATCAGCAGGAGAGGACTCTTTAAAGTAAGTAGAGACACTACATCTGATATACACCTGAACATCAGCAGGAGAGGACTCTTTAAAGTAGAGACACTACATACTGATATACACCTGAACATCAGCAGGAGAGGACTCTTTAAAGTAGAGACACTACATACTGATATG